CGGCTGACAGTTGTGATGATTTGTTTTTGCCTGAGTACATGCCAGTCAATTTGGTAATGCTTTAAAGATGCAGGGTTTTGGTGCTTCTCTGTAACTTTAGATTTCTCTTTCAGGAAAGTGAAGAAGCAAAGAAACTGAGGGAAGAACGTCTGGCCCAATATGAATCAAAGAAGTCCAAAAGTATGTCTACCAAGAACTTACTAATCTTTTATGCTTGGGTTAATTTTCATGCATTTGAACAGGATGGCTAGAAGCGCCAATTCACTGTAATAGGTAAACTTGACAGGAATGAGATGGGAGTAACGCGCTTCACTTGAGTTGCCTGGGAGCTTAGCCTTTCCCATAGCAAATGAGAACCTTAACATAGTTTTTTGTCCTGTTTAATACGCTCTTCTTTGTCTTACCCAGAGGTAAAAGTTTAGAGAAAAGGCTGCAATATGCAAGTCCCTCCACAGCTACTGGTCTGGAACTGTTCAGAACTGTAGCAGTTGCAGTATTCCCTCTGTGGAAAATAAACTGTTACACGGCATTAAGCTCCTTCTCAGATCCTCTGAAAAGGACTTCCTATGTAACAAACAATGTTAGCTGCTTAATCTGTGTTTTCTTCTGAGACTATTTCAAGAACATATGTGTCTACATCTTGAACATTGGGATATGCATAGCTTAAATACTTTCGAAATGTATGTTGGTACAAGAGGCCTGTCACAGCTATGTGAGGAGGTTCTTGTTCATGAAATTGGAAAAGTTCTTGTAAAGCTAGTTTGCAAGCATATTCATGAATTTTTGAAAATATCTCAGCTTTTAATGGTGATTTTCTTCCCCTAGAACCAGCTGTTGTTGCCAAATCATCAATCTTGCTTGATGTGAAACCTTGGGATGATGAGACGGACATGGCCAAACTAGAGGAGTGTGTTCGAAGCATTCAGGCAGATGGCTTGGTCTGGGGATCTTGTAAGTAGGAGAAAATTTCAAAGCAGGGAGAGGGGAGATAGTGCAGTCTCTTAAGGTAGTGCATGAATAGGTAGACTTGCGGTCACTGTTTGCTGATGCTTGAAAATGTGGGTAGCTAAAACAGTGCAGGAATTGCAATATTACAGTAATTAAGTAATCTTGAAATAGTCAAAAAGGTGTGTTAGTGCAGCGGCCAGGTTAAGATTCAAATACAGGTTTTAAAAGCTTTAAAACTTTGGCTTTGCTATCCAGTGTCTCCCTGTACAGTTCCTGAAAGAATCATAGAATCATTAAGGTTGGAAAAGACCTCTAAGATCATCGAGTCCAACCATCAACCCAACACCCCCATGCCCACTAAACCATGTCCCTAAGCGCCTCATCTACATGTCTTTTTAAATACTTCCAGGGATGGGGACTCAACCACTTCCCTGGGCAGCCTGTTCCAATGTTTAACCACTCTTTCAGTAAAGACATTTTTCCTCACGTCCAATCTAAACCTCCCCTGCCGCAACTTGAGGCCATTTCCTCTCGTCCTATTGCTAGTTACTTGGGAGAAGGTAATGATGCAGCAAGGAAACACCCATACACCCACATCACTGGTTTGGGGGGGGGGAACCCACAAAAACAAACCCTTTCGACCACCTTGTAATGAATGCTGTGTTGTTGATTAGGCAGTTTATAATACGGAACAAATTATGGGGTTTATGTGTTCCTGCAGACTATTTTGGTCAGTTCAATCTTAGATTTGCATTTTTACGCGATTCTACCAATCAAGGAGTACTAAATGCTTTTTTCTTTTTTTTCTTTTTTTTTTTTAGCCAAGCTAGTACCGGTTGGCTATGGTATCAAAAAGCTTCAGATCCAGTGCGTTGTTGAAGATGATAAAGTTGGAACAGATATGCTGGAAGAGAGAATAACAGCTTTTGAAGATTATGTACAATCAATGGATGTAGCTGCTTTCAATAAGATTTAAGACTTGATATATCTAGAATAAATGTAATTGCAAAAATTGGGCTGTGTCTGTAGTTACTTCAAAATCATGGTGTAATCCAACTCATAAATGTAAAATTTGGTTGATGGGTAAGGCAGAAGCTAAAACGAATTTCAAGGTTGCTCTAACACCCTACTGTAGTACTCAAGAGCTTAAGCAGAGAAAATGGAAAATTTACGTGTACCATCAATCCAGATTTAACGTTTACATGGCTTTAAAAATCTGAAATGCTGTCTGCTCCATTTTGGAGGAAGTTGCATCTCTGGAAATTTCTGTAATTTCTCTGGAAGGAGGGATGGCTTTAAGGGAAAAGCACAGGGCTCAGGCAAAGTGCAAATAACTTTTTTTTAGCAGTCAAACAGTAGTATAAGTTCCTTTTGTTTAATAAGGGTGGTGACTAACCAAATACATCATGGCTTTTGTTGAAAGCTAAAATTCTGCTGTCACTGAGGGAGTGGAGATGAAGGTAAGTTAGAAGCAACACGGGGGACTGCAATGCATGAGAGACGGCAAGGCATATAGCGAAACAGACCTTTTATCTGGCCTGAGACTACCATGGTGTCTTCTCATCCCCTGTGGTGTGGACTTGGAGTGCTTTTCCTCCGAGGTGTGAAAACGTCTGCAGTGAAACTACTTCAAGTTTCGCATCTTTTCCGGGGCTGCTTAATTAGCGCAGCAAACAATGGTGCTGATAAAAGCTCCTGCTTTCATGTTCTAAGGTCCTTGCGCGTCCTGCACCTTAACAGCCTGGGCAGGCATTGGTTAGCCCGGGGAAGGCGACTAGGGGGCAGCATGCGCCTTCCACAAGCACTCTCGGGCACCAGCTGTCCGACCCCCCAGCGTGGACGTCTGAGGAGTAATGGGGTGCGGTCACCACAGGCTACAGCTAATGCAGGTGGATAATTCACTTGCGTAATAAACTTGAAGCATGCACCAGGCTAAAAACAACAAAAAAAGGCGTTCAATTAAAATGCAAAGATAAAGCAGCATAATTAATGACCGTTTGAGCTGCTTACTTGGCTCCAGATCGGTTTCTAGATCGATTTTGACATTTTTTTAAAGACTGAAGAACCTATCGGAACTAAATTGTTTTCCAAAAACTATCCATAGGAATGATACAAATGTAAAAGCTGTCAAAGTTGCAAAGCTTCCAGACAAATTCACATTTCCAGGCCTTCTGTTGGCCTGAGGTGATAGAGAATTTATTGTGACCATGAAATGGTGGAAGCCTTTTATGTGCCACGTTGGTCACCCTGAGATGAAGGTGCTTGGTGCCGAAGCCTGACAGCAGCAGCTAAAATAACTCTTTTTGTTCTTCTTTCACAGAGCATCTCTGTGCGGTTATCATCTGGCACAGCAGGTCCTGTTTCTCTCTGTTTAAAGGTCTGCCAACTTCAGATTATGTAAGAAAGAGCTTTGTTTTATAATTTGTCCAAAAAAAAATCTGCCTGACAGAGGTTTAAAGCATGATGAAAGAATTGAAAGTAAGTATAATTACAGGCTTCATTCCCACCTTCCATAAACTTAACTCCTACAGGACTAGCTTCATCCCGTGTGTAATTAATGCACAGTACCCTTTCTGTGGCAATTCTCTAGCTGTCACTTCTGCTAAATCATGTAGCTTAGTTCTAGCAATTCTGTCATGGTGCTGTTAAAAGAAAGAAATCAGCAAATGCTACATCAGAAAAAAATGAAATAAAAATTCTGACACAAAAATATAATTTTTATTATCCTTGGCCATCACTGTTTCTGACCTCCCATTCAGTGTGCTTCTTGCCTTTAAACTCTTTCCTTGACCTTGAAATTAAAGCTCGAAGTGGATAAAATGGTTTGATTTATAGACTGTAACTTTGCTAAAATACAGCACTATGAGCCATCCATCTGACCTGCCAGACTGGATTTTTGTGTGTGTTTTTCATTTATGCTAAGCATGCATGTACAAACTCTGCAGTTGTTGGGATTTCTTTTGTGGTTTTTTTTCCCCTGATGTTAGAAGGAAACTTGCTGCACAGGAACAAAACAATAAAAGCTAGAGAGCACAGTCTCCCCAGTTACAAAATAAATAGGCAAGTGGGCAAGAGAATTCCACAGAATCCACATATATCTATGTTAGGGGTTTTTGTGTAGTATTTGGGTATGTGCTGGTATATTACTGTGTCATTGTGCCTGTGAAAAATCAGCATCTTAGAGTAAACGAGACACTTCTAGCCCAAGTGCACCCCATAACAGAAAGATCAGCAGAAAGTTCCGTAACTTAAATATATGATATACAGGAATACTGGGAAAACGGTTTCAACAGAAGTATTGGTTACAAACTAATGTACATAACAACCTTCAGAAGTACGAACTGTTCAGGAAGCAGATAAGAGTAAGTAGCCAGAACCTGTCTATTACAAAATGTGTCAATCGCTATTATTCTTGAATGAATGGTTGATCGTAGAGCTACTTCCTGTGAAGTGTTTTTCTATAGTATCTTTTAGCATGGTAAGATAGATCCCCTTCGTCTGGCTTTTTTTCCATTGTGGTGGGTTGAATGAGCGTTCCTCAGTCCAAGCAGCATACAACTGCTGGTATTGTTTTGGACACTCTTTGGAAACAGAAACTTAGAGCGTTATCTGTTTTGTTTAGGTATCTTCCATTACTCTTGCAGAAATGATTTGGAGATAATCCTGTAACTGATCTTGCTGTGAATGAGGTAGTAGTTACATTGCAAAATTGTTAATCCACTTAATTCCACAGACCAGGACTGACTTTGGCCGCCTTCAATTCTGTTCTGTATCTCTGTTGTCTACTTCAGGGGAAGCTTTCTCGTAATTTATGCAAGACAGCATATGTATGTTCCCCCATTTGAAAATCAATCTCTTTACTGTATATAGCAATATGTGTGCTCACATAGCTGACGTGCAAGAAGAAAGCTGACATAAACCTTAATTCCTGTAGTAGAAAGGGTCAGGGCTTGCTTTCATCTTGCAAAATCTTTGGGAAGGAGCGGTTCTAAGAATGGACAGTCACTGCATATTGCTGCTTAGAAAAGCAAATGAACATGCTCTTTGGAAACAACAAAATTTTATTACTTCACTTGGAGTACAGTCAGGGGAGTAGTGCTAATACATCATTCTTAGAAAGATGTCAGGGAACATGTGAAGAAGAACTGAAAAATGTTTGATTTAGGCACATTCAGCAGCACTGTGCCAAAATATTATGAGTCACTATGTACCAGGCAGCAAATGACTCAAAGGAAGAGTGCTGCTTACCAACTTTCCAGCCCATTGAAATTCCACTGATCCTGCCTGACTCTCCCAAACTCTGAAACCAGAGCCCAAAGAAACAGTTACAGACCACAGTCAGACTGTTTCTATTTGTCCAGCTACCAATACTGGATGTGCTCATGCATGCATATATAGGTATATATCTTATACAAAGCAAATGTATTTACATATAAGGCCTCAATTACAGTATAAACGCTACTTATGTGTGTTGGCAGGCCACAGAAACTAGGTAGATTATCTGAAAGGTAGCTTTATTCTATATACCTAGGCCAATAACAAGGAAAAAACAGTTGAAATTTACCCAAAGCTTTTATGCTTTTACTTTTAGTGGAGTTTTATCCCACATTCAACTTTTTATTTAAGTGGTATTGCATCAGAAATTGGTCCACTCCACTTAGCATATATATTTGCATTGGTACACGTGTGATTCTGCAGCAAGCAACAAGTTAGAACAGAATATAGCATAACTGGGACCACTTCACCTTTCTTACGGGAGTGGACTCCATTTCCTGGATGTACTGTCTTGCCTCTCATTTGGCAAAGAAGTCCAAATGTGGCTACAGACTTGTAACAGAATATTGTTGAATTCACTCTGCCCATTTTTTGAAGATTGGCATTAAGGCAAACAAAATGTTATATTATTTCTTTACCTTTGACAGAGCAATAAAGAGCAACCAATAGTTGTAAACCTCTTTGAGCCTGAAAGTTTAAACATAGAAAAAGAAAACTGTGGCAGAGGGCCTTTAATCTCAGCTTCTGTAAGAAACATTTTCACTAATTCTTTGCACATTTCAAATGAGCCTAATACCTACATGAAACATCTGCTCAGTATTTTGCACCCAAATGGTGCCAAAAGCACAAGAATAAGTGACCAGAAAACATGGTATCTCCTGTCTTAGTTTTGAGTATAAGATAAAGAGCACCGGGAGAAAACAGATTTTATTTCCGTATTTTTCTTTTTTGACAAAAGAAGGCAGCAATTCAGTGTTATCTTTCTTGGGATCCTTCTCCAACTGCAGAGTGGAGCCACTGATAGCTTCACTTAGCTGGGATGTAGCCAGGTGATTCCTACTTAAGGCAATACTAGACAATCAGGAGACTCATGACCCATTGATGTATGGCCATGACCGCTTGGATGAGAATGCCTTGATCAAGGGTGTTACCAGTGATGGCAAGGAGGAATATTTTTATTATGTGCTCTTTTGATAGCAATGAGATATGGAACCACAACAAAACAACAGGATTACAACAACATTCCTGATAAAAACCCCATTAGAGCAATTCCACTTATTCTGACAACTTTCAGTTCAGGCTGTGTGTGCATTGCAAGTACACCACACCTAAATGATGTGTCCTTTAAAAACCTTTCAAGGAAAGCAGCAAGTGCAATTAAGCCAGCTGTTTACATAAAACTGTATATGCAAAGATGCACATCTGACTGGCAGATGTGAAGTCAAGAACACCTCGAAATCTCCTGTCAGCTCTTTCAGAGAGGGATGGTGACAAGAGCAGTCACTGAGCAGTTTCACAATAGTGCACAGGTGCATGGGTGTTGTCCGAGCTCCACAGCTGCTCACTGACAGTTCCCGAGCGGCTCACCTCCCACAGTGCCAATTTTAGCACCTCAGAGACTGTTGTCTTGACCTGGGCCTGGAACTTTTTGCTAATCAGAACGTAGAGGATTGGATTGAGGCAACTGTTGATGAAACCAAGGCCAGTGGAGAGGGGAATGCCATCCTGCAGTAAGTCATGCAAGTTTTCATCGTGGTGAGCAGATAGCTCCACAATGCTGAATATGTGATATGGTGTCCAGCAAACAAAAAAAGCTACAACTACAGCAATGATGGTCCAGAAAAGCCTGCTGGAAGTCAATACAGTTCTCCTCTTCACTTTGACAATCAGCAATGAGTAGCAAATGACCATGGTCACTAGAGGAAAGAGGTAACCGAATGCAAGCCTCACCCAAATAAGAATGTGATGTGTCAGCAAAATAAGTTCTCTGTCATGAACATGGAAGTTGTTGTAGCAAATGGTGACGTTGAGAACTGTAGCTGTGTCTCTAAAGTATAAGGCAGGGCCACCAATAATTGCAGCTGACATCCAAATGATCCCACTAAGAATGAGGGTGTTCCTTACAGTCCGATACTTGTAGGAAAAGACTGGGTGGACTAGGCGGATGTAGCGGTCAAGGCTGATGAATGTCAGGAAGAAAACACTGGCAAACATATTAAGTAGTGCAATGAATGAGTTCATTTTGCACAGCCACTTCCCAAAAGGCCAGTGGAAGCCCATTGCCACATATGTTATATAGAGGGGCAGAAAGAGAACAAAAATGAAATCTGCAATGGCCAGATTGAGGAACCAGAGTGTAGAAACAGATTTATCCCACTTGAAGCCCATAAACCAGATGACGATGGCATTACCTGGCACTCCCAGCAGAAATGCCACACTGTAAAAGGAAAGGGAAATCATATGGGCAATGCTGAGGGAGGACTGGGGTGATTCATCTTCCTCAGACAAGTCGTAGAAATAAGAGTAGTTCTCAAAATCTTCAAATGTCATGTTGCACAGTTGCTTTCTGGGGAAGAAAAGAAATGGGACAGTCAAAGGAGAAATGTTTTACTGCACTTCAAATAGTAACCTGCAATTCCTTTCAGTTCTTGGTCATAAAAAAATCCCAAAACATTGACTTGGTTTCACATATCTATCACTTTTTAGTTGTCAGTTGCTAGCAGAAAGCTTGTGGAATATTTTGGTCACAGGCATTTCAAGAAATGCTCAAATCAAGACAACACTTGAAATCTTCAGGAACTGTTTTCCTTGCATTTATTTCTTAACAGAGAGCACTGAGCACAGTATCACTGATAAAGTTCTGGGAGACCAGATGCAAAGTTTTACTGAAGTGTGATTTTTCTATTCTTTTCTAGACAGGTTTCGTATTTCACTGCTGTGTTCGTATTTGAAGCAAGTTTATGGATTATATCTGTCAGAAATCAGAGAAGCACCAGACACCTATGTAGGCAAAAAAGTGCAATTAAAATGCCAGGAAGCCATTTTTTATAAAATTACCACACACACACACACCCCCTAAAATTATAGTTAACAAAATCATAGACAGTGATTTCTCCAGCAACTGAAAATTCATGGGTTTATTCCTCTCTATGATGTATCTATCTTTGTATCAAGGAATGCTGATTTTCAGACACATTCAATATATTAAGTTTCCTTAATGCAGCAAAGGATGTAGAGAAGGAAACATACAGAACATATTTCAGGGACAATACATACAATTGTGGTATTCTTCCACTAGTGAGCTGAGAAACAGGTAATAGATAAAAGAAAATAAAGCTTCCCAGGAGAGTAAGACACACTGTAAGAGCTATAGATGAAAATATGTGTTCCTCCTTTTTTCTTTTTTTAAGACAGAACGACGGTCTCGGTTTTCTTCTGTTGCAAAAGCTTCTGGAACTTACAAGTACAACATGATTTTCACATAGGAATTTTCTTCTAAAAGTCCAAAGGAAGATTGTGGGAAGGAGGGGGGGTGGGAGGAAAATATAAACCGAAAGAAAAACCCAGGAAAAAAGAAATGAATGGGAAAACAGATAGCAAACAGAGATTGAACAGGAAAAAGCACTCAGAAGTTATGTATTCATTCCACAGTACAGACAAAGCGTACAACATGATTTTCACATAGGAATTTTCTTCTAAAAGTCCAAAGGAAGATTGTGGGAAGGAGGGGGGGTGGGAGGAAAATATAAACCGAAAGAAAAACCCAGGAAAAAAGAAATGAATGGGAAAACAGATAGCAAACAGAGATTGAACAGGAAAAAGCACTCAGAAGTTATGTATTCATTCCACAGTACAGACAAAGCTACAGCACAGATGGCCACAGTCTGACAAAAGTATCTGCCATGGTCAAAACAAATATTCTGCTAAATTCTGTTATCATTTAAAGCTATATTGTCTGGCTGGACTCGACTGCACTAAAAACCTGTCCCTGAGAGCAGGATACAACCAGCCCATTAGCTGTACTATGGATAAGCTCACCGGCACACTTCTGAGCTCTAGCTCCATTCAGAAACTGAAATTCAGTCCGCGCTTTTGGAACCCAGCCCTGCATTCCTGTAATTCCATTAATTTTAGCATGCTAAGGACAACAGAAGCAGGGTCTCCAGAGTACACTGCCTGCAGAACCACATCTGCAAGCCTGTATTCATGTACATACCTTTCCTTCAAAAAAAGTAGTTTGCTTATTTTGAAGGATTACTCACACAAGTGAAGCTACGCATGTGCACACACAGTAGCAGGATTAGATTTCTCATTCGCAGATGGATAGACAAGGGGGGGGGAAGTTATGTAATTTTGTATCTCCTGATAAAAAGAAAATAGGTAGTAAGAGTCAATACAGCCCATTCTGTCAAGAGGCTATGATAACATTTGCCCTTTGTAATTTACATCAGGCTGAAGGAATGTTATTTGGTTTGTTGTCCTGATAAAAATTATACTTATTGGGCTGCACTTATGTAATACATGTCCCTTGGGTGTAGATTCTGCATCAAATACCAGTACCACCCATCTGAGTCATTTTTTCAAATAGCTTCACAGCTGCTGAGAAATAGTATAAACAAGGAGCAGTACCACTAACATCTGGAACAACATTACATTTGGACAGCTTCAGAGGACAGTCGGGTTAATAACTGGATTTTTAAGTGTCTTTGCCTATATCCAGAACTATACCTTCAAATTGAATTTATGCAATTAAACAAAAAAAAAAAATCCATTTTTTCAGACTCTTGTTGATTAACATCCTGTATATCCCAGTCACTAATCAATTTTGCTTTTAAGTTTCTCAAGAGCTAGCACAATACAACAATACTTGGATTCAAACATTTCCTCCCAAACCCTTTTTTTTTTCCTAATGGTGCTAAAAAAACATAATGACAGTAACAAACATTTGCCTACTGCCCACCAATGTTAATTTTATATTTAGAATTTGAAAGATGATGTATAGCAGGAGAAAGAAAACATACCTAAATAAATACCAAATATTTACCAAGCCTCCTGTAGTTTAAAACTCCTCCATTGAAAGAGCACACCTTTAGAATGCAATTATTTTTCCAAGCTTGTATTTTTCCTCATCTCTAACTCCTAGTCTTCCAATGCAGTAACTCTTTAGCAGTGGGGGCAAAAAGGCAGGAGGAACATTGCTTACCATTGCTCCCAGTGCACAAATGCTGAAACTAGACTCTATGGCTAGGGTTCAGCAAAGACTGACAATTACATTCGCAAAGCCCAGAACTTTTACCTCTGACATCCACATATATGAAGCACTTCTATAACAGGACTCATGGTGTTAAGCCCTGCCCTGAAAAAGATAAGCAGTAGGGGATTGTCCATGGAGCTATGCTGGTTTACATCAATAAGGACCCAGATTTTTTCTTCTGGGATAACCGTTAACCATCATTCAGCAGGGATGTTTCTTTGTGTTCTTGAAACACACGTAGTCTCAAATACATGAGTTTGGTTTTTATTTATTAATGGACTTTCAGAGTCAGAACTGTCTTGCAGTTCAAGTCTAGGTCTTGAATTGAATTCTATTCCTTATTCTGACTGATTTCCTGTATGATCTTTGACAAACGGCCTAATTTCCAGGCTGGAAAGACTCTCATGAACCTGTCTGCAAACAGACGCTCAGTAGAGAAAACAAAACTTTTTGCCAGCAGTTTCCACTTGGCTTTCAGGCCAACTGCTAGAAAGGCTAAGGGAGGTTTGGTGCAGTTCACTGGCTCAGTCCCTGCTGGTCCAGCATTGCAAAAAGGAGCCAGAGCAAGGAAAATATTTTTCAATAAACAGGAAAGTGTGGTTAGAGGCCTGGCAATAGGACTTGGGGGCAGCCACAGGTTACAGAACAGTGTTTATTGCATATGGATGAATATAACCAAGTTTAGACTTCATCCTCTCTTTTTTTTTTTTTAATAGTAAACAGCCTGTGTAAAGTGTATGCTCGGCAGTTGTTTGACTGGCATCTGTTCCTGTTTGCTGAGGTCACAAGCAGCTCTGGAAACTGAGCCTCCTTGATTCAGTTGCTTAATTATGAATATAGTTGCTTAATTTTACGCAAATCGGTTTCAGAACGTTTGACCAGGAGGTTTCATTTCCTGTCCCCTTCTGTAAAACAGAAGTTAATTACTAAACGACTTCATAGGAATATCACAGGCCGGCACCTGGTGCTAGTACCTTTTAGATCCTGGGACAGAAAACAGAATTACCAAGAAATACAGATCGTTAGGAAATATTTCTAAAATACAAAGCCACAGAACTTCTGGGAAGAGACTTCACCATGTCCTACATGAACTGTCTTTCTCTGAATTTCAGCAGGGAATTACAGAATTGGATCTCAATCGACATATTCATAGCTTTTTACTACAAATACCTAGAGTTCATTTTCTCTGCCACCATTACAGTATTTCATAAAGTTGAGCCATAATGGTAACTTGGCCAAATGATTGGATCTGCTTAAAATAGAACAGTTTTTGTCACACTAAGAATGGCCTTATAGTTATGACATGGGACCAGTACTTTGGACTCTATTCATGGCTATGCCACAAGCATCCTGTTTGACCAGGGAAAGTCGTTTGACCTCTCCACGCCTCAGCCCTGAGGTCAGTGGAATGGCTTTGGAATTAAATTACTTTGGGTTTTCAGTCTAAAATAGGAGAAAACAAACAAAACAGTTGCAGTTTCCACTCACTTCACTTGATGCAAAGTCTTCCTGGGGGTTCAAAGTTCTCTGGGCACTACGCAAGTCAGGGTCCAACTTAATTACACTGGTAGTTTATGCCACATGTTTGGGCTACAGCCCACACAACCTCTCTCTCACATTTGGTCTTCATTACTTTTTAAATGTATGGAGAGGTTCAAGGGAAGAGCTTATTCATTGTCTATGTTAGTTAAAAGTTAACACAAATATTTGAGTGGTAGTCCCGAAATCTATTTGTTCAGTGTGATAAACAGTGCTCAGAGCCTCTGGCCAGCTAAATTGATTTCAGATGTCACAATCATGAATCCTGACTCAATAGGAAAATTATGGTTTGCGGAGTTGGCTGTCTCAACAGTTAACTTCATAGAGGGAACAGATTACACAAACCCTCCTTTTAATGTCTTTATGAATAATTCTGAGCCTATCACATTCCACATGTATGATCTATGGCTAAAGGAAAGCTTATTTGATTGATTCACTTCAACTTTTGTCATGTGCAAGAGTCAAATGTTGGAGAACAACTAGTTTCTCAGAAGGTCACCTAAAGCCCGCTTGTCATACTGTCTCAGCAAGTTTGTCTGGATATTGGATTCATTTGAGAGCCCTCAAAAAAATTTCTTGGAACTTTTGAGGTGCTAAATTTTGAATTTATCTAGCTTCAAAAACATAAACATGAAATTCACCCAGTAGTTTATCTGTAAAGTTCAAAACACAGAAGGCTGAGCAAGTTTGTTAGAGGTATATACATATTTCTGGCAAGCATTTTACAAAGACATAAGAAAAGATCCTAAAACTCACAAGGAATAATGATGAGA